TATTGGGAAGTGAGGAATTTATATTCTTATATTTGAAGTCGGTAAATCGCTATTTTATCTTCTCAAATCAGATTTCGGTAAGTCGAATGATGTTTCGATTTCACGCATACTAACGGCATGCTCTTGATGAATATAATATGCACATTATCGGTGTAATATCTCCCACATTGCGAAAAGGTGTAATACAATCTATTTAATCTATAAATAGATTGACGATTCCATATTTGTAGATACGTATAAATGAACAAGAAGTTTATGATTCTCCTTTGACATCCTCGATTCAAATTTCATTCTTTTCATAATCTTTCATCCTTTTCTCTTACTTTGTGATTCACAATATCGAAGAATAGAATCACGAAGACTTTCATATAAATTTATACTTCATCTTTGGTGTTTGGTTTGTTTTTATTAGTGCATAAACACCATTAAACATTTTATCCTATTTCATTGTATCTTGGAGGCATCGCGTACCTTCAAATTTAATGCAGAGTTTTTATTTCAAAGCCACAGCAACGCATAGCATCACCAATATTTAAATGGTTAATTATAAAGTCTTTTCAGTTTTTAGTTGAGGCGTGTTTATCATATTCTCTTTCGTGTCAATTTGGCATATTCATTGTGCTTATAGGACATTAAACAAAGAGAACACAATGATCTTAACAGAGTTTACCGGACTCATACTAGGTTAACCAGATATTCTCATCCCTATGTTTCTGGTGGATGACAATTTCCAAATTCTCCTATCATAGGAAAAAAAAAAAGGCCCATCAAGTTCCAATTGGAGTGAAAGACCCGAAAGTGGAGAAACCAAGAACCTTGGAAGATTTCCACAAATATTTAAGTTCTAATTAAGGCTCTGTTTGGGAGGGATTTAGATTTTTTTATAATAAATCAATTCTCATTTTCAACCACACATTCTTCAATAAAATAATATTTTCCATCACATCAATAATTTTTTCTTTTTTTTTTAACCACACATTTTCCATCATATCACTATTCAAAATCAATTCTTCCCCCTCAAAATCCCTACCAAACACACTTTAAATAAGATATTTTAATCCGTTTGAAAAATAAAATCNCAGCGAAAGATCTAGGGCCTTTTTGGTGGAGATTCTCAAAATTCTACAGTAAATCAATTCTCATTTTCAACCACACATTCTTCAATAAAATAATATTTTCCATCACATCAATAATTTTTTCTTTTTTTTTTAACCACACATTTCCCATCATATCACTATTCAAAATCAATTTTTCCCCCAAAAATCCCTTCCAAACTATCTATAAGTCTCACAAGCCAAAAGGCATGTCATGGCATCCACTACCGTCCTCACTTAATTAAACACATTTATACAATAAAATAGTTTCCATTTTCACTACTTTTTAATCACGTTCTCTAGTTGAAATCTACTGTCAACTTTTATTGTCCACCAATTAATTATTGACACATCATTTTACATTAAAATATCATATATTTTTAAGTATAAGAAGTAGTTGAATTAAACTACTTGTACAACGATTTTGTACAAGTATTGGGATAATCCATGAGGTGTAAACATCTTGACCATTAATGTGAATAAATGTAAATGGCCAAACTGTCTATCAACTCATTAATTGTCAAATTAGTTGTATATACAACAAAACTCGGAGCACTTAGAGAAAAGTTAGACATGTTAATTTAAAATAATGTGTCAATAATTAATTGGATGGACATCAAAAATTAGACAGTATATCTCAATTTCACATTATCCTAAAATTATTATTCAAAATATTATTTTCGTCAAACATGGGCTAAATACTTCCCCAAATAATGTGAATACTTTTAGGGTCGTGCTACTTGTAAATCGGGGTTGCCACCGGTGGGGCCCACGACTTTTTTATTGGCCGTGGGCCCCCCTGTTGTGAGGATGTTGTACACCGAGGTGCAACCTCATTATACAAGTAGCATTTTCCATATTTGACACTCGATGTACAAGTAGCATTTGCTATACATCTAATCTTACACAGTTGACGTGTCAAATTCAAACACGATATCAGAGCACAACGTCGTCATCAAGAATGTCCAGACAACAACTCCCATTGCCGGTCTATCCAAAATACACTCTGGCTGACCGTGATTGGAGCAGCAAGATACAAAACTAAGGTGTGATATTGCGATCAATAGGCTTCCGGAATTTTTTTTTTAAAATTTTTTGGTTCGTCAGGTTAATTATAATAGGGTATTACACCGGTGGTAAGGATTTCAGATGGCGATGCCAAATAATTTCAAGGCACCCAATAAGCCACAAAGACACTAATACAACGAACACTGAAGAACATGCCAAAGTGGATTATTTTCAAAACACACACAAAAAAACATTTATAAAATAATAAAAGACAGAAAAAAAAAAGGTGTCCCTTATCTGAGAAAATATAA